GAAGGAGGCGGCGGCGGCGGCGGCGGCAGCGGCGGTCTGGGAGCCGCCTGTCCCGTCAGAGACCGACCTGGAAATCGAATCGCAGCAAGTCGTACTGGGGTTTGCCGACACGAAAAACTGCATGAAGAGAATCGTGGATAAACATGGTCATTGGCTGTTTCAGCTCTTATCTTGTTGCCTGTATCTGACTGTGGGTGAAGCACTGCAAAAAGAGATCTGAGTTAAGATGCTCAGTCCAGTGTTGAGTCTTGACATTTTAAAACGAGTGGAAATGTGAGCTGGTTTCGTTTGTTTTTAGTTCACATCAGTTCACTTATCATAACCCAGGCGTCATTATCTTAACTTGTGACCTGCTTTTATTCAAGGTAAGTCACTTTTCAGAGAATTCCTGGAATGAGAGAAAGTAGCTTACATTGTAAAGAAGTATAATAACCAATATCACCTTATTGTCATCTTTTTAAAATAAAAACTATAATTTATATTAAAGTCAATGTAATCGGAAGGATATTTTTTCCACTGGATATCAAGGTGAAAAAAGACGCAGTCCGTGCGTAAAAGTGACCTGCTCCAGTTTATCATCGATTAGAAATGTTTTACTTCAGAGAAAAATCTAAAGTAATGTCAAGTAAATCACCACCTTATTTCAAATTTAAAAGATTAGAATTTTAAATATAATCTACTGAACGCTCCAAAATATTATGAAGATAAAAGTTGGGTGACAACTTTTCCATGAGAGTAACTTTTGTCCCTTGATCACTTAACATAACTTCCCCGAACTTGTCATTAGGCGCAATAATAGTGTCTGAAAATGTAAATAAACCACTTTGATCGAGTTTTAAAAGCTCTTAAGACAATGACATTTGTCTAACATCCCACCCGTCTCAGTGATCTAAATAGAAAGTTTCCAAATGTGTACAGCATGCGCTCCAGCCCAATTACACCTCGCAGTGAGCAATAGGTGACATTCATCTCTATTGTCATCAGAAAAAACACGTGAGTTCATTCATAATTCAGTGTAATTGGACACGGGTGTGTGTATATCGATATTTGGTTCAACAACAAAAGCGCCACGCGAAAAAAAAGCTGTCAATACTGTCAAAGCAGTCACTCACTCATGAATGTTTCTTACAGAGAGACTTGCTCCGGCTATAGCGAAATAAAAGAAAATGTGAAACAAAAAAAAAAGCCAATTGAGTGTGTGTGTGAGAGAGTGTGTACACAGAACTTAGGATAAATAAAAAGCAAAGTGGCTTACCTGTGAAGTTGCATTGTAAGGGTATCCAAATTGCGAGAAAGACATAGCTGCTTCTTTTGTTACCATCAGCAATATTCTTCACCCTTGATCGATTGCAACCAATTCTACTTCAAATCCACCGTCTTACACACATTTCCACGCACGGCCTTTCGCTCAATAATAGATGACTTCACTCATAGGAGGGAGACTTTAGGCTGGCACCAGCTGCAGATTGTTTTATATGAATGAATAATCCCCCCCAAGGACCCGATAAGAAATGAAATTAAGCGTCATTAAGTGCAAAAAAAAATTTGTTGTTGTGTTAGCTGAAGGAGGCTTAAAGGATAACGTAAGACTTGCAAGATATGGACTCTGCTTGTGCTATTATTTGTGGCTCTATAGTTCTTTAGCATTCATCCATGCAAGGGTATCAGCGTGACGTCACTGTAATCCCGGAACGGCAGGGTACCAAGGATAGAATAATGTCTTTGCCAATCACGTCCAACGCAGGCTTTTCTTAAGGTGCACTGTACACAGTCTTGTCCCGCTTTTGTAATAGAATTTTTCACCCGATTTGCTGAGATAAAAGTCTCTGGAAATTGTATTATTGTTCATCATGATTGACTTATAGCATGGGAACATATGGAAACCCTTTGTGAAGTTAAATGAATTAGAAAAAAACCAACAACCAGTGAAGATATTTTCGACAGTCTTTTCGACAGTCAGTTTATCACAAACACGTCCTCATTCAGCAGAAGAGATTACTTTTTCTTTTCTCTCAAATAGGAATCAAATATGTAAACTAGAAAGACAGAGGACTGAAGATTGTCTTTTTAAAAAGACTGTAGTTTAAAACGATTTCTTTTATTTACAGTCTATCTATCACAATTAAAGCTGGCTGAATAAGGTGATGTAAGACTTTTTTTTCTTTTTCTTTTTTAATCTCGACCTCTGTTCGCCTCTGGCTCTCTGGCCAGAGGTCCATCCCGGAGTTAATGACGATGATGTTTCTATCTTTCTCTATTAGAGAGAGGGGCAGTCCCAGCAGGAACGGTTAGAGGGGTTTTTGGCAGGTCAATAGACCAGTGATTGATGCGCGCCTGGAGACCTACGTGACCATTACGCGTAATGCGTAATTGTATCAATTAACAAATGGATACATGCCCTTGTTTAACCAACGAGTAACAGAGTGAAAATATGCCTTAGAGGTGAAATCCGAAGAGCTGTGCTTGGAAAAAAAAAGACAGTGGAAGCCCTGCTCCCCAGTCTAATTAAATATCCGTGGATGGGGGCGACGAGAATTGCATTTTAATTGAATGATGCTCACTTGAAAGATGGGTAAGGAATGATGCTGCCTCACAGTGAATGAAACGAGAAATAATTTTAAGCCTTATTAGATCAGCAGCTCAACCATCACCAGTTCTCTCGCTCTCTCCTATAAACATAAACAAGCGTTGCCCCCTCCCCGCGTGATGTTGAGCTGGGACAGGGAGGGAGGGGTCTATTATTCCCCCTATACAGACTATATTTGTATTGACAGTGACAGCGATGATCAGTCCTATGAGTCATATGATCTGCTTGTTTCTGACTATCTAGGGTTGTGTAAGGTTTCCGTTGTAATGTCGGATTGTGCCAAATTTTCCCGGTGCCCCTTCCTTTCCATAACTGATGTATGGCATTTCTTCCCTTGGAGACTCATCTGCTATTATGGGCTTCCTCTCCGAGGGGCGCTAAAGAGCCGCGTGTAGGAGATGAAGATCTCCCGTCAGGAGATTTTCCACAGAGATAAAGTGGACAGAGTGGTCATGGTCCGGGATCTGGGAAGTGCCTGGGAAGTAAACACCCACAGGCAGCAGCAAGTAACACACACACCCCACGTCTGGTTCTGACAAGTGTTCATTGCTTCTGACAGGCAACTAAGCTACAGCATGGAACTTGTTGGATAACACACCCTGGTCCTCAACAGGAAGCATGGCACTCCATGTTACCAAACTGTATAAAACCTTTCATGTGGTAGAATCATTTCTTTTGAATAAAATGTGCCATTTCATTTTCTTCCAACTTGTTGATTCTTCCACTGTCTTCTTATTTGTCCTGCTATCTCACTTACTGTTCAGCAGAGAACCAGACTCATTCTGCACCCAATATTTTTTACAGTGCCTAAATTCACCCAAAAATCCACATAGTGCAAATAACTTATATCACTTATTCCCACAAATGAAAGAGACAAGCCAACTCTATTATAACTGAACTGAACTGTATGTCCAAATGCATTCTTGTGGTATGAATGAAAACATATGTGTGAAGACAAAAAGTGAACTGTACATATATATTGGTACAGGATCAAATATCTGAATGAGCAAAACAATGTATTAAAACGTCTACTTTTGACAAGATAAGAAAAACAGCCTTGTTTTTGGCTTTGTGACAATGCAATTTTAAGATAATCCACTGGGTTTTTAAACTGTTTATTGAGCTTAAAATGTAGAATAATTTCTCAAGCCCTAAGGGATCACTTAATCCTTTAGTTTATCTGAAATATTCAGAATCACACAATTTGGAGATACATGGGCTTAACTGGACAGTGACAAGAGTTGGAATGGGAACACAGATATCAACAATAAGCAAAATTGAACTCTCTTAGCTTTCCATTTGCCATTAATGGTGGATATCAGAACTTATCCAAGGAGAATGCACACTTTCATGCCTAAATCGTTATTCCATAGGAGAACGTGCACAGAGGGAGGGTTGAAACAAACTAAAAGTAATTGCATGCCGGTGGTCGATGCATTTCTACAAGGGCATGCATGATGGCCCAGGTGCATATGGACAGACTCATGCATAATGCATGTCCAGCAGTCAGTGTAGATCTCACTGAATCAGGCCGAAATGAGCACTAATTGTAGTGGCAGACTGACCACTGTGCCCTTCCCTCTACTCCACTCTACTTTTTTTTTTACAGTGTTTTGCCTGGATTACTTAGTAATCACATTGGAACAAGGTTTTGTTTTTTAGCAGCTAAGTGGCTGACAATGGCAATTAGTGATTTTTTTACAGGTTTGTTTCTAGTTTTTTTGGCAAAGTCTGCCATTTAGAGGTATAGACTACTATAGAGCACTACAATCCCAACAACATCCAATCACAGAGAGCTTCTGTAGCAGTAGGATGATATGAGGCCATGCTTAAGCTGTCGGACCCTGTCCAAATTCAAACCCCTGTCCCTCTCTGTGTGCACCAGCATTGGTTTAAGTCATGGATAATTTATGTCAATTTTGGACTGTGGTCAAATGAAACTGGGAAAGAAGGTGAAAAAAATATAATATAATCTTTTGGGGTGGGGACAGTCACAAGTGACGACAGAAAGAGCACCAAGAAGTTCAGTCAATCACAAGAAAGTATTGCTAGTAAACTCATTTCCAACGCTTAGCATCCTGCATGCATGCATTCTCATGATACAAAGAAATGAACCGTGCCTCTACTTGAAACAGTCTGCAACAAACTTTGGCAGTTGGAATTTGTCGACATACCATTTGACCCATGACTGCTCATGTAATAGAACATTTAACTACTAGCAGACAAAGGCATTCATCGTTATAGTACATTCACTCACGTTATTTAAGAATAAGCAAGTCCAAACCTCCATTATATCTTGTTCTAACAGATCCATGTGGTTACTAATGAGATGGAGTAATGCACGCATCCTCCATTAGAAGCATCACAGGGTGGAAAAAAAAAAAAAAAAAAACCTGGAAAGGTTAAGTCAACACTCAATAGCTCCCAGCCCTATTCTCCTACTTAATACATTTCCTATGCTGACTTAATGAACCACACAAAGCCTTCCTGGTTTTTCATCAGATGGGGGGTAGCGGCGGTGGTGCTGGAGGTGGAGGGGTGGGGGAGTTGGGGGGCTGTATGAAATGGTAATAAGGGCAGAGAGACGGAGAGATGGAGGGAGAAGCCTGAGCTGAGCAGGGGATGAAGCTGCACCTACCTGGAGGTGTGTGATCTCATTAAAGCCAAATTGGTATATGCCAATAAATCCAAGGCACTTGTGATCTGGAATTATTACACACACACACACACACACACACACACACACACACACACATACACAGCATACACACAAACTTCCCCCATGAGGAGCATTATTAGTACTGCAAAATTATCCAAAATGGAAAGAACAGTAATAAATATTGTAATGAGAAATAATAGAGCAGTGGCGGATATGGTCACAGCAGTGGCCAGTTAACACCAAAACAAACATCTCCAGGGCTGGTGAATAATTACAGCACACAGAGGGAGTCATTAAAGCTTCATCAAACAGAGAAAAAAGGGAGAGGGTGAGTCTGACATCATGACGACTGTCTCAATAAATCAATCTGGAGTAGGGTAAAAAAGGACGGTAACTGCATGTGATGACGGTACAAGTTTGATTGCTGTTTAAGTAGTGCCACTGTGCTGTGGTATACTTTGATTGGTATCTTGACTTTAGCAGACAATGTGTATTTTGAAAGAACATAATTACGCACACATCCATCTGGTTTTGTTTTCCACAGTTTAAACATGAATCTGTACAATAATGGACAGGCATAATCGGTGTTTAATTTGTAACCTCGTCACTTTGATTGCTTTTAGTCAGCTGTTTAACTCAAACAAACCCTGGGCATTTTGTGTTGGGAGCCGCATATCCCAGAGGCCCTTGGGGCTCCTGGGAGAGGGAGAGAGAGAGAGAGAGACAGAGGGGTGAAAGACAGAGCGAGAAAGAGGCATGTGTGTGTTGTTTGTGTGTGCTGGCTGGCAGAGTCCCCTTGAGGCTCTACTGTAAAGCTATCATCAGTGGTGGTGTCAGGGATTTGTAGCTTGTCACCGAGAGAGCGAGAGAGTACTGGCAGTGACTCTGGGAAATAACTGCTTATGGAGAGAGCCTGGCTTGCACAGCTTGTGTGAGTGTAGGTGTGTGTGAGAGACAGAGAGATGGAGAACGAGTGGGAGGAATGTGTGTCTATTTTTCTCCCCGGGGTGTCTGGAGATGTGTGTGTGTGTGGACGGGTAGGTTGTGGGTTGATCATATGTGTGGATCCATGTAC